TCAGTATAGATTATACTTCAACATTAAAAAAAAAAAAAAAAAAAGCCTGACAACTGGGCCAATAAGTAACATTGCGAAAAAATGGAGAAAAGATTGCATTTGTTGAGGATTTCATTTTTTTTTTGGATCCACAATCAAACACTCATGGTAGCAGCAGTAAGGATATCAAAAGATGTATTATAGAGGCCAAATCTGCCACGAAGGATTTCTTTAAAGAGTTAAAGAGCAAAGATGTCACTTTGAAGTCTAAGGTGTACTGACCAAGCCATGTAATGCACATGAGATCTGGACAATGAATACGGAAGACTGCAGAAAAATTGGTGCTTTTGAATTGTGGTGTTGGTGAAAAATACTGAATATACCATGGACTACCAAAAGAATGAACAAATCTGTCTTGGTGGATGTACAGCTGGAATGCACCTTAGAAGCAAGAGTGGCCAGACTCTGACTCTCATACTTTGGTCATATTGTGAGATGGGACCAGTCCCTGGAGAAGGATATCATGCTTGCTAAAGTAGAGGGTCAGGATAAAAGAGGAAGACTCTCAACAAAACTGTTTTGACCTAGTGGCTGTGACAATGGGCTCAAGCATGGGAACAATTGTGAGGACGACACAGGACCAGGCAGTGTTTCTTTCTGTTGTACATAAAGTCTCTGTGAGTTACAACCAACTCAGCACCTGATAACAACATGTCAGATAGGAACATGAATGACATGTTCCTGAGTTGAGTCGGCACACTTTTATACTCAGTGTAGATGAGCATTTCCACCCTAGCATCACCAACCTGCTAACTAGAAAAATGTGTGGAAGATATAATTCATTGATGAGGCTTGTTTGCTGTCTCAGAGAATCTTTAGAGAAAGCCCTCAGTATTATATTGTGATGTTGCACATCTAAAATTCTACAAATAACTGTAGTGGGTAGTCTGAACTTATTACTACGTGTCACTGTTCTTAATTTATGAGAATACTATTTTTTTTTCCTGTTGAATCCTGTTGCATTCTTATGTATGCATGTAAAACCCATCTCTAGGCTATGTTTTTCTTGTAACAGCATATAGTAATAGTTTGAAATAATGGGTCTGGGATTGAATCTAACTACATTTTTGTGACTTTGAATAAATTTCTTCTCTGTAAATCTAAATTTTATTATGTAGAAAATAAAAGAATTTACAGCATGGGAGTAGATGAGAACTAAATGAGTTAGCACATAAAAACTACATAAGGCCCTTCACTTCCCTTTTGTCCTTGTGTATATTGTAGCATATCTCAACATAGTGTAAATCAATGAACTATCTGATCTACTTAAATTGTTTTAAGTGAGCTCTGGTGGCATAGTACCTAAGGCATTTGAGTGTTAACCAGAAGGCTAGCAGTTCAAACCCACTAGCCACTCCTTGGAAGGAAGACTGGGCAATCTATTTCCATAGAGATACTGTCTTGGAAACCCAAGGTGGGGTCACTATGAGCCGAAATTGACTCAATGGCAGTGAGTTTGGTTTGCTGTATATAGAAATACTCTGAAATTTCAGAATAATCCATCTGTTTTTCCAAAGTAAGCCATTCAGGTATTGTGCTTTTTTCAGTTGCAAATTAATGTAATTTGTACTATTGAAATATACTGGACTTCTAAATATTGACTATTGTCAAGATGTTTTTCAGGTAGAATTTTAAATTTTATTGTGAATTGTTGAAAGGTTATATGGATGAGCGTCTTGATTATGACAGTATTTAACTTTTGGTTTCATAATTGCTATAGAACAAGACTAAAGTTTATAAATATGGCTTCTCTAGTATTATTTTCAGTGTGATCTTAGGTAGAAGTTATGGTGCTTCAGACTTTTACTTTCAGTGTAGACATAAACTGCATCAGCTATTGAAACTTTCCCTCCAAGTATGGTCTTCCTTTGTTGCGGTATACTTGTTGTTGTTGTTGTATGCCGTCGAGTCAGCCCCGACTCATAGCGACCCCTCCTTGGGTTTCCGAGGCAGTATCACTACGGAAGTAGGATTGCCCAACCTTCCTTCCGAGGAGTGGCTGGTGGGTTTGAACCGCCAGCCTTCTGGTTAGCAGTCAAGTGCCCTAGGCACTATGCTACCAGAGCTCCTTGCGGTATACTAGTGTCCTTATTTAAACGGACTCAGCTTCTTGGGTCCTACCCCAAAGACACTGAATTAGAATCACTGGAGATGAAGTCCTTGGGAATCTGCCTATTTAAAAAGTAATTCATTTGAGCTTTATGCTTAACAATTATTCATAAATTTTTGTTGTACTTTGTCATATAAAAGCTAGGCAAGACTTATACTGTCATTGCCATGTACTTAGGCTACAATTCAGTTGTTTATTCATTCATTCAACAATTGAGCACCTGCTTCCATGCCAGACTCTGAATGATGTTGGGTGTACAGTGATGGTGACTCTAAGATTTCATCTTCACAAAGTTTATTATTTGGTGATAAAAACAGGCAACAAATTTAAAAGGATATTTACAAATAGTGATAAATGCTGTGAAGGAAACAGCAATGTGAAAGGGGATCTATACTGAATTGGCATTGCATCTAAGACCTAAAAGATGAATTAGCACATTAAAAAAATTTACTGCATCAGTTAGAAAGGGGATAGTAAGTCAACAGAATGGGACAGTCTTTTCATCTCTCCTTTATGTGGGTTTTTTGGTTTGTTTGTTTGTTTGTTTGTTAAACAAAAACTAAACGGAAGTAGATCTGAAGATACGAGGATTAGCTGGTCTTAATGGTGCTCCATCTGTCACATAGGTCAGCTAGAAGGGCAAGCCAATTAATAGTCATCTATACTAGCATGCCTGGTGGGCCACATTGCTCATTTATTGATGTTGGTGCCATTAAGTTGATTCTGACTCATACAGACCCTATGATGTGCAACAGAAGGGAGATACTACCTGGTCTTGTGCCATCCTCACAATCATTGCTACGTTTGAGCCTATTGTTGCAGCCACTCTGTCAGCCCATCTTGTCGACGGTCTTGCTCTTTTTCTCTGATTCTCTACTTTACCAGGCCTAATGTCCTTCTCCAGGGGCTAGTCCCATGTCCAAAGTACATGAGACAGAGTCACCATTCTCAGTTCTAAGGAGTGTTCTGGCTGTAGTAGTTCTTCTAAGACAGATTTGTTTGTTCTTCAGGCAGTCCATGGTATATTCAGTATTTTCCACCAACACCTTAATTCAAAGGCATCATTTCTTTAGTCTTCCTTTTCATTGTCTAGTTTTTGCATGCTTATGACGTAATTGGAAATACGATTGCTTGAGTCAGGAATATCTTATTTCTAAAAGTGACATCTTTGTTTTTAACACTTTACTAAGGTTTTTTGCAACAGATTTGCCCAATACAGTGTGTCACTTGATTTCTTGACTGCAGCTTCCATGGGTGTTGATTATGAATCCAAGTAAAATGAAGTCCTTGACTACTTCAGTATTTTCTCCATTTATCATGGTGTTGCTTATTGTTCCAGCTGTGAAGAATTGGACCTTTAGAAGATATTTTTGGAGCATGGAGCATTGCAGTGGAGGGCAGAGTTGAGACACCAGGAGCTGTGGGACAAGGGAAGGGCCTAAGTTCCCAGAGTAGCCCCTAGCTATCCTTTTCCTTCTTATACTCTCATGCCATTTCCACAGCAGAGTCACAGAGTCATCTCACGTCCTGCCACCACAGATCTTGGCCAGTCTTTGTCCTCATCCTTCTTTTCCAAAAATATTGCCTGGGGGCCCATAGTAAACGATTCATTTCTCCTGTGACTCCAAATACCTAACTAAAACAAAAAACAAAGAGTTATGAAATTAATTGTGCTACATTCACTGCATTATGGTCTATTTCATTTTACTTTTTAAAAATGCTAGTTAAAACCTACCAATTGTTTTCCCAACCTGCTAATGAGTTATAACTCACAGTTCTTCTAAAATATGCTAATTGAAATACCTCATTCTGGCATTTAAGATGCTTCATAATTTGTATTTTTTCCCAACCTGGTTTGTTTTTTTTTTAATACTATTTTGCTAAATAAAAACGCTTCTCAAATAAGTTTCAGTTAACTTCCTGTTCTTTGAGCTAACCAAGATCATTATGTCTCCTAGTATCTGGAATGCAGTTTTCTCACCTCTAATTTTTCTGTTTAGGTCATATTTAATTTTAATGCCCCCATTCCCTGAATTCCTGTCAAATGGATTCTGACTCATAGTGATCCCATGTGACAGAGTAGTATTGCCCCCATGGGGTTTCCAAGGCTGTAATCTTCATAGAAGCAGACTGTTGTATTTTTCTTTTTTGGAATGACTGGTGACACAGTGGCTAAAGCTCTCGGCTGCCAACCAAAATGTTAGCAATCTGAACCCACCAGTCACTCTAGCTAAACAAATGCTTATCAGTCTGCTTCCATAGAGATTTAGCCTTGGAAACCCTATGGAACAATTCTACTCTGTCCTGTAGGGTTCCTATGAGGAGGAATCAACTAGATGAGAGTAGTTTGGTTTGGCTTTTTCCTGAATAGGCTGGAATGTCTTCTACTTAACTGTCATTTGGCACTTAAGCCTTATATTTATTTGTAAATTATGTAAAAACTTTGATCCAGATAGCATTTAATCTTATACCACCTGATAATTATCAGTTAAATGGTATTCTTTATCTTGTTTCTCCTTTATGATTGAAAGCTTTTCAAGCCAAGGACTGTATTTGTTTCTTCTTTCTGCTCAGTTGTGCTAAACACATTATAGACAATTTTTAAGTTGCTTGGTAAATCATAGGTTAGGTGTTTGATAATTTCTTTTCCTTAGTAAGTGCTTATTGCCTACCCATTTGAAACAGAAGAAAGTATTCCTATAATAGAAGTATTTCTACTGGGAAGGAGGTGAAACTAGTAAAGCATGATGTATTACTGTGAATCTGTAGATTCAATGCAGGGTATTTCTTACCATTGTGAGCTTGTTTGAGAAAGGGAACAAAGCAGTAATCATCTTCATTTTATATTCAGCCATATCAGTGGGAACAAAATTGGCTGGGAGAAGACAGGAAGCCACTCAGAACCTCAAGCACACGGAGACCCAGGAGACCAAACAAAGGTAGCAAAGTGTATGCCTTTTATTCTTTAATTTTTAGTTCTGAATTTTTAAGTCTTTAGTGTTAGTGATTGATTTTAAAAAATTGTCTAAAGATGTTATTAGTATATAAAAACTTACAAAGTGGATGAGTATGGAAGGATCTCTTCCTCCTGTTTCCGTCAGAACTGAGCTGCCTTGTGGAAAATCCGGGTTTAAGTCCTTCCTCTGTCGTCTGCTAGCTTCATAATCTTTGACAAGGAACTTAAAACCTTCCTGATCTGTTTCTTGTAGCATTTCTGTGAAGCTAAGTAAGAAGGCATCTGGGATGTACATATTAAAATGAAAATGAATTGCATTCCACCCTTCCCCACTTTTCACCTCATACCTATTAGTAGTCTCCTCTGAGTTGTGAAACTATACCAGTTACACTTGACCAGTAATAATGAGCAGGTCACAGGCTTGTTGGAAGAAGGTTGGTTTATATACAAGGTGGCTGAATAGCAAAACTTCTTTTTATAATTTTTAAATAGTCTTAACTATTGAATCCTGTACATAAACAACAAAAATGCTTTGTGGATATTTATTATTTGTGAAGCACTTTCCAAGATATTTTCATAATACATTACATATATACTTATGGGGAATGGAGAGTATTGAAAACACTAATGAATTATCCCATGAATTAGTTTCTTAAGACTAATTTTGGCACTTTGTGTGTTTTTTTTTGTTGTACATTTATTATGTTATTGTTAAGAATATACACAGCAAAACATACAACATTTTAACAGTTTGTACATGTACTGTTTAGTGACACTGATATTCTTTAAGTTGTACAGCTATTCTTATCCTTCTTTTCTGCGTTGTTCCTCCCCCTTAACATAAATTCACTGCCCCCTAAAGTTGCTATCTAATCTTTCAGGTTTCTGTAGTCAATTTGATCCCATATAGATAGTTCTTAAAAGAGCTTAATGCTTAAGGCAGAAATTTTTACTAGTTTAGCTAAAACTATTGTTTGGTTTTAAGATTTCAGAGGGGTTGTCTTTGGTTTAAGGTTTAAAGTTATCTCAGGGCAGTAGTTGGAGAGGTTCAACCATCCTTAAAGGCTTCACATGGCATTCAGTGTTTTCAAAGATAAAATTAAGCATTTAATTACATAGTATTGGAAAGAAGACATTATGTTTCAAAATAGAAAAATGTCAGTGTTTAGGATAGCATTAAATCAAGCAGTAGCAATTATTCCTAACATTTTTTTTTTTCTCAGAAAAATGTCTATTACACAAACAAATTGCTCTGGGGAAGCAATTCAAAGTACTTTAAAGTTTATAGAGAACAAACCAATTTCTGTTCTTTCTACTCCTTTCCTCAATTCTACATCATAATAACCAATCATTAGGATAATATCTTGGTGTCTAAACACTTTTCTGTTCATACAATATACATATATTCACTATCTGGTAGTAGCAGAAACCATTCTAAGCATGTAAAACAGAGGAATTGGTATCTCAAAGGTGTTGGATGAGCTGAGAGCTAAATAGGACAGTGAGGGTTGGCAGAAAACCACTTTCATCTCTAGAGTGGAAGGCCATAGCGAGGAAATGGAATCATCTGAGCTTTTGGGTGAGGGTCACCCACCAGAAGCTGAAACTAAGTGTTGGAGGGGAGGGATTTGGGCTGGAGCTGTGGAAGAAATGTAGCTATTTCCAGAGACTGAGTTTTTCAGGCTCTCACCAGTTCCTGCCAGGGTTGCCCAGCCCAGAGACAGAGCCTGTAGGGCTAGCTCCTCCCTTGCCCCTCCTACAACAAAAGGGCTAGGCGTAGGTCTGGAGTAAACAAACTGGGCCAGCAGGCTATTACAGAGGATCACATAAGTATTATGTGGCATACCAAACCAAAACCAAACTCACTGCCATCAAGTTGACTCCATCTCATAGCAACCCTTCCTTGGGTTTCTGAGGCAGTATTTCTACAGAAGTAGGTTGCCCAGTCTTCCTTCTGAGGAGTGGCCTCACCCACTTCTGGTTAGCACTCAAATGCATTAGGTACTACACCACCAGAGCTCCCTTGTTGAATGTAAAATGGTGGTCTCTATATGTAAGGTCCTAAGCTAAACACTAGGAGCTCTGGTAGAGTAGTGCCTAAGGCACTTGACTGCTAGCCAGAAGGCTGGCGTTCCAAACCCACCAGCCACTCCTTGGAAGGAAGGTTGGGCAATCTATTTCTGTAGTAATACTGCCTTGGAAACCCAAGGAGGGGTCGCTCTGAGTCGGATCTGACTCAGCGGCACATAACGACAACAACAACAAGCTAGACGCTCTGGAATGTTTGTTAGTGAGAGGGATTGAATCTGAGATCTCTTATCTCTCCTTGGTAAAATTCTGTTAATCTGAATAATTTATTGCTTATTCTCCTTCACCCCTTGCACAACATCAGTACCTATCTTGCTGCTCTGAAATTGTTTTCATTAGACAGTATTCATCTTCATTTTCTCCATATCTGGCCTTGGTAGGTACCTTTAATACATGTTAAAATGAATAAAGTGAATTTTTTTTTTCTCTGTTATCGTTTGTTCTGTAGGCAGAAGGTTCGTCCACTGCCTCTTCAGGAAGCCAGATAGCTGAAGGAAAAGGGAGCCAAATTGGCACCGTACAACCAATTCCCTGCCTTCTGTCCATGCCCACCAGGAACCACATGGATATTACCACACCTCCATTACCCCCTGTTGCACCTGAAGTATTGAGAGTGGCAGAACACAGGCACAAGAAGGGGCTAATGTATCCCTATATCTTTCATATCCTAACAAAGGTATTGTCAAAGGGGTTATTTATTATTACTGCCCATTGGTATAGTTTGGTCCATTAGTTTTCAGGGGATGATTCCTATGGGTATATTTTCCTCTTGATGTTTTTTGAAATGTTTCTCTGTTTTCTGAACTATTTGAAACAAAGTTTATTTTCCCTTTCAGAATATTGAGCTAAATCTGAAATAACCTGTAAATACAATTTTTAAAAAAAAAACTTATGGTCTCACTTTTCAATTTCATATAAATATTCATGAAACTTCTAATTTAATAATGATATATCACCTTATTTTAAGACTATCAGTTTTATTCTTTTTATTTCAAGTTTTCTTACACCGTATTTGCTGCATGGTGTCAGGTTACATTCTGATGCCATATACATTATCTCATTTCTTTTTCATTTGGCCTTAGAAAATAATGTCTCCCCTTTTGAATGGCTAATAGTATTTCATGTGTTTTGACTTGTTCATCTACCTCACCTACAGTGCAGTTTTTATAGTACTTAGTAGCAAAAAATGGAATACAGAATTTTGTGATGTGCATAGTCAAAAAATACAATTAACTTTTCGCAGAGTGACATGAGTTTCACTTTATTAGTGCCTTACCAAATGTATGACTAAATATATGAATACAGTGTGGCAGTGTTTTTGAATCTTGGATCTTGAATATATCTGTTGTTGTTATATGCCGTCGAGTCGGCCCCGACTCATAGCGACCCCTCCTTGGGTTTCCGAGGCAATCACTACGGTAGTATATCTATATATATTTAAATATGCTCAATTATTATTTGTAATTATTTGTAGTCTTTATGATAGTATTTATAATCATAGACCCATAATTTTAAAAGTTACCTTAGTCACCAGATATCTCATGCGGTCAATTTTCAATTGATTTATTAGAACCATGTATTATTAACATGTTTTCATCAGTATCCATGCCAACATATATAATTAGACTTTTTTCTTTTTATTTCCTGTAATTTGTCTGTGGTTTGTAAAGTGCAGCCAAATGCATTAGGCACTTCTGTTCTACAGAACTCTATAGGTGACTTCTTTGAGTGATCATTGGCTATTCTAAATGTTACTTACTTTTATAAATAAAAGGAAATGAAGAATGGTTAAACCAGTATTATCTACTCAGGTCCTTTAACTAACTTTTTCAATTATAAATGCCTCCAATTTATATATTATTCGATATGGGTGTAAGCATGTGCAGTATCACTTTTCAGATTATGATTATAAGGTAAACATTTTATTTTTCAGGTTCAACATAAATTATAAAGGGTAAGTGAAGTTATTGTTGCAGGTAAAGGATTTTACTAAGTTTAAAGGGGCTAAAATTTGGGGAAGATAGCTTTCAAAAGCACATCTAAAGAGATTGCAAAGTTTTCCTGTTGGGATTGTCAGGTCCCCTGGACTCACATTACTTATCTCAAGTGATCAATTACATGCCATATACACACTGACTGTATCTTTCTGGACAGTTGATTAAATCAGTATAGATAAATCAATATGGGTGATACAAAATTGTATGAAGTATACTGTTTCCTATAACTATGTAACTGTTTTTAAATTGACCAGGCTGTGACATTTGCAGTGAGATGAAGCTTCGTGGGAATTTAGAAAATTATCAAAAGATCATAATATTAAAAACATAAATATTCCTGATTGAGAATTTTAGAGCACATGTAGCTATTAGATGAATGAAAATGAAAGCACTTGGGCTATCAAGTCAATGATCTCTTAGTTCTTTTAGGCAGATCATTTTTAATATGTAGTAATACTTTGGTTTTGGTAATACTTTATGAAAGAGAATTTGACCATTTCATTTTCAGAATACTCAAGTGAATAGGCCATTGAAAATTACGAATTTTATTACATGTGACTATCTTGACTCTACAAATAAAATTTGCAGGTTCTTACCTTACTCTATTTGTTGTCTGATACCTTTCTAGGTTGTTTCAAAGATTGGAATCATCTACATGTTTTCTTTTGTTCTCAGTTTTGGATTGAAAATAAAATAATGTAGGTTTTATTTTATTGCTTGAGCTTATATTTTGACTGCAGCCTACCAAATGATGAATTGGATTAGAATTACAGTGTTAATGAGTGGAGATAATACAGTATATTTCTGTGAGTTTATTGTAAATGCAACATGAAAAATATGCAATATTGTTCTGCTTTCTTCCATGCAAAGGGTGAAATCAAAATTGCTGTTTCTATTGAAGATGAAGCCAACAAAGACCTGCCTCCTGCCGCCCTGCTCTATAGGCCAGTTCGTCAGTATGTTTACGGAGTCCTGTTTAGTTTGGCAGAAAGCAGAAAGAAAACTGAGAGACTTGCTTTTAGAAAGAACAGACTTCCTCCAGAATGTATGTACTGTAAAAATCCATTGTTTGTTTTCTTCAGTACCTCATAATCTCTTGTGCATTTTCTAAAGCTTTAGAAGAATCATTACTGAGTTAACCCTGAATGCCTCCTGTGTAAAGAAGCTGGGACTTTCATCATGGGCAAGAGGGCCAGAGTCGAGGTGTTTAGAAAAGGAGGACCAGTCACAGATTTGTTTTTCCTCCGTAGTGTTCCAATAATGATACTTATTCAGTTAAATAATAAAATAGTAGATTTATCCTTTAAGCAACGTTGATCTGAAAGCTGTCTTGATGATTGCCATCACTTTCTGTAATTAACACACCTTCATAACAGGCACACATGCAATTTCTATACTCTCATTTTTATGAGGTGCACATCTGCTCTCTGGAAGTCCAGTGTTCTTGAGGAAAGGTGTTACTCATTCTCTGGTGGACTGTTTCTGTGCTATTGGAGTGCCACTGTACACAGCTCAGCAGCTATAAACAACTGCCATGTGATTTTAGTGTATCATCATAAAAGTGTACTAATATGCCTCAGAGTCCTTGTAAATTTAATGGACAGTTCCAACTGATTAACTTTTGAGATTGAGGGTGACAGTGGGAAATATGCAAAGTGTTGCTTGAAATGTGGTAAAAGTTGAGGTCAAACACATTTTCCATCTTGTGATGTACTATTTTGGCAGGAGGATGGAATGCCTTTCTATTCTAGGTCATTTTATCTACTAACATAAGAAATGTAAAAAGTCAGCGTATGTTTAGTAGAAAATAGAAGTTTACCAGAGCTAAAATAGAACATTTTGAATTGTAGAAATTGTAAATTACCAAATCATTTTTTAAACTAAAACTATTTAGTCTGTTACAGATTATATAGCAAAAGATCTACCAAATTTGTGGTATGTCACTGCAGTTCTTAGATGAATGATACTCATTTTCAGTCAGAGAGCAAGTATGCATTTCTTCACTTTGTAATTTTGAAACTAGAGATTCTAGCAATTCTAAAAGTTAAGTACAGTAGATTCTTAAATTTTCTGTATGATTGTAACATAGTTAAGTGCTCCAATTCCTTTTGCTTACCATGGCAAAATTGTGACTCTGTAACATTTTAAAATTAAGTATCTGTCACTACCCTTAACTGAAGATGGTTGTACTGTGATTGTTGAGTTATGTGGTTGTAGTTGGAAAAAAAAAAAAGATATTGTTTATTCCATAGGGCTTCATATAATTGATCCTTTTATTTCCTTGAAGCCTGGAGATAACATTTAAAGCACATAATATTGTAATTCTTTTCAAAGGTCCATTGTATTCTTTATATATATACATACACCACATATGCATACACACACACACACACACACATATCCTGATTCTTTTCTCACATTGTGTGATTCTTTTGCTTAAAAAGAATGTCATTTCTTAATCTTGCACCTGGTTGGGTTTCCCATGTGGCATGCCTCAGCACTGCTGGTCGCTGAAGCTGTGATTTGCTACTCTAAGCTATTCTAATCTCCTACATGCCCTGATGTCACCGCCAGGCCTCCTCCTATTTAGTGTGGTTCTCTATTTCTGGATTTTACTGGTATTACTCATGTTTCTCGGATACTGAACCTAGCAGGATGCCATGGAAATCCGTCTCCTATAATGTCAGGATACATCTCAGCCATGTTCATCCTTTGTATGATAGTACTGCCTGGCTCTTGCAGTGAAAGGCTATTCTTCTTAGTTTGTTTATATGTTCTAAAAAATATAGTTACCTTTATGCAACAGACTCTTTAAGAAATTTTTAGTGATCTAACGTGGAAAACATCAGGTGAATTCTTAGACTGGCTTCCCTTTATTTTGCTCACAGCTTTATGAAAGTACAGATTAAAATATGGCTAAGTGTATTCTAGAGTCTCTGTATCTGTGCTTCCCACAGCAGAAGGTATTGGGTTGTCCCTTGGAATCAGATGAGATTGCCCCTGCCACTGCTGCCCCCCAACCCCCATTTCAGGAAGTTCTTCATCATAGGTATCAGGCATTGTCATAAAAATGATTACTGTAAGAGTCTTGATCTCTTGTGCTCTTCCACTGTTTCGCAGTTTTAAAACATTAATTATCCCATGTTGAAATCTCCAAAATCATTCTAGAGTACATTGGCACTGATTTTGTACCTAGCTTGTACCAGACATTATGATAAGCCTGGGAGAGGCCATTCTCTTACAGATCATAGGGAAAACAAAACACTGGAAAGGTATTCAGTTAAGTGGACCAGCATCTCCTGAGTATAAGGCGCAAGAAAGAATTACTTCTTTGAAGAAAGGCAAATGGTTCTGCAGGTCTGAAGTACATAGCCTGAGGAGTCGGGCCCTGGGAGGTAGGCAAAGGTATAGGGAGTTTTTTTAAGTCTATCATTATAACTGTTTTAAGCAGTGAAATGATAAGGTCAGATTTGCCATTTAGAGACCAACTCCAGCTGGGGATGGAAGCCATGGGAATGGTGTCATCTAGGGAAGAAAAGAGAAGGATTGGTGAAGTCTAAGATAAACTCACACAGGCCATACTACAGATGGTGATGTCATTCACCACAATACAAAACTTAGAAAAATGAACTAGTGTTAGGTAGAATTAAGATGCTTCCTGGGCAGTTAGAAATGAAACAATGGGTAACAGACACTACCGACCAGGCAGTGAAGGAAGGGACTTGGGAGGCTGTTGTTAGGTATTGGGGACTGAAGTCTTAAGTTCCAGGAAGTTGAAAAGCAAAATGGGATAGGAGGTGCAGGGAATACAAAAGGGGTGGAGAAGGCAGTGTGTACAAAGTATTTTCAGATTGCTGAAGTGTGTAGGAGGACAGCTTCCTAGAGAACATTCAGCAGAAAGTATTTCCTTCCCTTTCCCCTTCCCGCTTCTCTCCTTCCTTTCATTCTCCCTTCTTTTCCCTCTTTATCTCCTTCTTTCTTCCTTCCCCCTCTTTTGGGTTGGGTGACTGAATAGTCTGGTTAATGTGTTATTCTTTGGGCAAATGGGAAGGAGTGAGAAGAGGTATGGTGAATTTATCAGAATAGGAAAATTTTATAAAGACGTTAATAGAGTTAGGTAAGATGGAAGAAAAGAGCAGATGTTTTAGGACCGCTTTTCTTGGTGAAGGCACATTCAGAATAATTGGGGAAGTAAAGATAAGCTACAGGTTTGGTCTGAGAAAGAGAGCCAACTAGTAATGAGAAAAGCATCAGATCCTAACTGATCTGATCCTAACTGTGTCTGGATCTTAACGAATTGACAATAGGAGGTTTTTTTTTCCAACTGTGGAGAAGGAACTAGTGCTGTAATTTTTCCCAAATGTAGTTTAAACTTTTTCAGCAGTAAAACAACATTTTTAAAAGTGAGTTCATAAACATTTAAGTCTATTATTGTATGTATTGCTCTCTTAAATGAGTGTCAAGCATGTATTAAAAATGAATGAATAATTTATATAGGTACATGGTACATGGCTTTGTTAGATAAAAAGATTTGAAGTTTGGTGTTTTAGGAAAGTAAATTGTATTTGTGTGAGTGCACTCATAATAAATGCTGAAGTTTTTTTTTTTTAAAAAGTCAGTGCAAACAGTCTTTTTCTGTTCAGGTTATTTATGAAATTGAGTTTTTACTTTTGTAGGCAAGGAGGAACCATTGGTGAGAGTTAAGAACATCTGGACTGAACTGAAACAAATCCTTTGAATTGGAAAAAAAAGGTGGATTCAGATGACCATTACTTAGGAAGAATTTAATTAAGCCTCTGGAATTTAAATATTTATCTAGAAAAATGTATTATTAATGTGCTTATTACAAATAAAATTTTACCTGTGTTGGAAAATATGTATAAATTTGATATCTTAGTTTAAAAGTTGAGAGACTAGTTAATACTAGTTAATATATAGTTTTTAAGTCATTAATACATTTCCATTGATTGTCACTCTGATTGCAACACCACCTCTCCACAAAGAAGATTGCTGTCCTGTAAATCTTTTGTGAATGTTGAGCCTGAATGCTCTCTACTTGCTGAAAACACAGCTTGTGTGAGAAATTAGTATGTGATATACTATCTGGTCTTACAACTCTTACTAACAGTGCATGTGTTAAAATTATTCCTGTTTATGAAAATAGGAACTTTAATTATAACCTATTTATTAAATTTCAGCTAAGTACAGAATCTCCTCATGTCATTGACTTAATTTCTATATTAGCGTTCTCCAGAGAAATAGAGTCAACAAGAAGTGTGGGTGTATCTGTGTGCATACGTGCACAAGTATATGGTTGATTTTGATTTTAAGGAATTGGCTCATGTGATTGAAGGTGCTGGCAAGTTCCAAATCCTTAGGACAGGCAGGCTGAAAACTCCAGCAAGTTACCTATTTTAGTCCTGAGGCAGAATCCTTGTCTATTCAGCAACTCCAGTTTTTGCTATTAAACCCTTTAACTGATTGTAAATGTTAATCATCTAAAAATACCTTTGGAGTCCTACACCACACTTGGACACAGTGCTTTTATAAGAGTCCCTGTTATGGATTGAATTGTGTCCCCAAAAAATATGTGTTGTAAATCCTAACCCCCTATACCTGTGGTTATAATCCAATTTGGGAATGGGCATCCTTTGTCATGTAAATGAAGTATTAATGTAGGATGTGTTTTGAGTTAATCTTTTGACATGTAAGAGGAGCAGGGTAAGAGTAGAGATGGAAGAAGATAGATGCCATGCCACTTGAAGATCACCAAGGAGCAAAGGAGTAGAAGCTTAAAGAAACAGAGACTTTCCCTCAGAGTTAACAAGAGAAACCCTTTCCCTAGAGCCAGTGCCATGATCCCATACTTCTGGCCTTTTAAACTGGAAAAATAAATTTGTTTGTTAAAGCAGAATAAATGAATAAATAAATAAGTATTTTTTAAAAAATGCCTTTAGAGCAACATCTAGACTAGTGCTTGACCAAAACACTAGGCCTCTTGGCCTGGCCAAGTTGACAAAAGAAGCAAATCATCACAATTTTCAT